CCTCCCAGTCAGTCCTCCCCTTTGACTGGTCCTGTGTTAACCCTGCGCCTCCCAGTCAGTCCTCCAATGTCACTGGTCCTGTAAACCCTGAGCCTCCCAGTCAGTCCTCCACTGTGACCGGTCCTGTAAACCCTGCACCTCCCAGTCTGTCCTCCACTGTGAGAGGCCCTGTAAACCCTGCACCTCCCAGTCTGTCCTCTATACATGAGTGGCATCCTGCCTGGCTGCTGCAGGAGAAGAAGGCTGCAGCAATGGAGCGGCCTTCGGAACTGGGAAACCACAAAGTGGTTCTCCCATCTAGGGCACATACTGACCTTTTTCTGACACTTTCACCTTTTTTTGCAATAACAGCATTTTAAACTTTTTTCTTAAATGGTCTGAGAAATAAACACCCCAGTACTCAAACTGCATCTCGTGTCTGATCTAGGACAGACAGACTCTCCGCCGTGAGGCCAGCCCCTCGGAGGGGACAGGTGCCGCCTTGAGGACTTTGCTTTTCAAACCCAGTAAGGATGCACCCTTTGTTGCCCGGCCTTTTATTTTTAATTCTGAAGCCCTGAAGTAAAGGAAGCACACTGGACTTGCATGTACAGGAGCTCCAGTCCCGCTGGTGTGACAGGACACACGGCGCCGCAGGAGAACGGACCGCAGGGCTCAGTGGACACTCCTGCACCCGCGGTGCCGCATTAGGACTCAGAGCCCAGACTCCAGCGAGGTGTGTTCTGCTTAAACTGGGTCAACATCATTTCAGAAGCACAGAAAATATTTCAATTAGCACTTACTTTGTAAAATCTTTTGCACAAAGGGTGTTGGCCTTAAGAGGGTTTCTGCTTTTAAGAGGTAGGCAATTTGCAGCAGCAGGCTTACACTGTATGAAGCATGTTTTTAAATCTCAGAACACAACTGCACTCTGACCCTGTATTAATCCATTCCAAAGTGGACTGGCCTGCATGGCCTCCTCTGAGTGGGGCAAATGGGATTCTGGCTATTCAGTTGTTGATTTATATTTTTCTTGCACGAATGTATCTTTGTATTTAAATATATATTTCTAGAAAATACAATCCTATAGCAATATAACTTTTGTAATTTCAGTATAAGGTTTCAAGGAAAACTATGTTTATAGACTTCAGATTTGAAATAAGTACAAGACCATATCTTGCTTTTTTGCACAGTGTCCATATTCTACCTGTATACTGCGATTTTCTTTGAGGGCCAGATACTTTAATTGTGCAATAAGAAGAACCTTTGCTGATCTCTTCTCCTGACTTCCCATCATGTCTACGAGGATGACTGTCACAGTATAGTTTAAGGCTCAAGTAAAGCATCAGTTATTTGCAAATGTTATTTGCTGGCAGGAAGAGGGCTCAGTGAAAACAAAGGCATTGCACACAACTGGCAGTGTGGGTGGCAGTTCAGAGGTAATCTGGGCTCATTTAGACGCCCACAGAGCATTACTTTTCTGTAGGACTTGGGGTCTGTTTAGGTTAGAACATTTCTCACTTGTATCTGATTGAATGATTCATTTTTGACGTTATGTAAACACAATACTGTGCAATACTGCTAATTAGTGAAGGTTGCAATAAGGTGACCACTGGAATGTACTAGCACTGAGGGATCACCAGCCAACAATGTTCCAAACAAATTGCACTAGGAATGCAAATTTAGTCCTAGTAGGTTTATCACAGTTAGCTCTTGGTTATGCCTCTGGAAGGTATTTTGGCTTGGTATGAAATGGTTGCTTACGTGTGCTTTTTTAAAATCCCAATTTGTACAGACTGGCCTCCCTGAATGTAAAAGAATGAAAGAAGGTACGAGTGGCTTTCATGTGTAATGCCATTTTTCAGAAGCGCGATCAGTGCTGTTACAACATATATATAATTAAATTTTTGTGTAGAAGTAGCAATCTTGTGTTTAACTGACTTCATCAACAGCTGAGAAATGTAAATATTTGTGCAAGAGTCTACTGCCAGGGGGTTTGAATGTATGACATAGAAAGGATTGTTTTTGTTTGCAGGTTAGGCTGTGCTCTTCAGCCCCAGCCTCTATACTAGAGTCATTTTAGTGAACGTCATGCAGGTCCCTCGAGGAACGAGCCCACACTGGTTCTGGATTTGTGTCCTTTATGTCACTCGTAGTACACGAAGGAAAAGCGGTAAAAGCTCTGTGCGTGAGGACTTCGTGGAGGCTCTCCCAGGCTCCGGTGATTAATATGCTTGACGAACCTCAGGGTCTCCTTGTCTCTGTACACCAGCCCAAGGGAGTTGTTCTCTGGGAATATCGTAAGGAGCTGGGAAGTCAGATGAAGAGAAATGTCAGCGGTGTGGTGCTCTGGCCCACCTGACCCACTTCCCTGACGGAGCAGACGCTGAGACCCACCCAAGCAGTTTCCACCCCCCCCCCAGCCCTGCTCTGCCCCCGCCTCTCTGAGCGCACGGCCAGCTCACCTCCTCATCCTCTTCGCTGGCAATGTAGGATGTAAATCCTCCGAACTCTGGCTGCCAGTCTGAAAGCAATACACAACACGACTAAAAACACATGCTTACAAGTCCCCACCTCCCTCTGCTGTCCTACTAATTACTATTTAATAGTAATAAAGCTTACTTTGGCTGAAACTTTTATTCAAAAGCGCCTGGCACTGGCACCTGTTTATGTCGCTGGGTGTTTCAGTTGAGCACCTTGCTCAGAGGTACAACAGCAGCGACTCTGCAGGGATCCGAGCTCACAACTCTCCAGGTACGAGGCCAGAACCCTGCCCCCTGCCCCCTGAGCCACATTGCCACCTTGTCCTCTCAGCACACACTCACCCTCGCAGCCGCAGTGCAGCAGCAGGTCCAGGGCGAACTCGGAGTTCTCCAGGTCGGTGTCGTGGATGAGGGTGTAGTCCCCATGGCTCCAGCGCTGCAGCTCCCCCCGGCAGACAGGCACGCCGGGCACGCCGGGCTCTGGGGACGGGAAACAGTTGCTTGTTAACTCTGATCTCCCCCAGCTAAAAGGAGACTCGAAGTCATCACACACACCAGCCACTCTTCTTATAAAGCCAGCATTTGTGACGATAATAAAAATAATAATAATTATAACTAATAATTGCTTACACTTATATAGCACTTTTCTGGACACTCCATTCACCAATGTGCAGCACTGAATATAGTGCTGCTTGGTATCTCGGTCATGCAGTCAGTCCAGTGCACCTGTAGCAAATAACTTTGGAAAAGCAGCCTAGAATCTCTCTCACCCTCGCGGCTTCCTTCTGGGTGAAGTTCCCGTTCAGCCCCAGCCGGCTGCCCCTCATCGCGTGCTCCGTCCTCCTCGTCCTCCTCGCTCCCCGAGGCCAGGAAGTGCAGCTTGAGGCCGGTGAAGTTGGACAGCAGCAGGAAGAAGGGCTCCGAGGACAGCAGCTCCCAGCACTGGCTCACACACGAGGGCAGCACAGCCTCCTCGGCCAGCCTGTAGCACCTGCACACAACACACAGGGCTGCCTGTAGCACCTGCACACAACACACAGGGGCTGCCTGTAGCACCTGCACACAACACACAGGGGCTGCCTGTAGCACCTGCACACAACACACAGGGGCTGCCTGTCTCGCCTGCACACAACACACAGGGGCTGCCTGTCTCGCCTGCACACAACACACAGGGGCTGCCTGTCTCACCTGCACATAACACACACAGGGGCTACCTGTCTGACCTGCACACAACACACACAGGGGCTACCTGTCTCGCCTGCACACTGCACACTGCACACTGCACACTGCACACTGCACAC